GCTCGATCTCCAGCTCCCCGCCTGGGGGGGTTGGCTGCTAACATCCTCTGGGCACCAGTCAGCGGGTGGCCGGGAGGGGGTGATTCGGGGTCCGGTGTCTCGGGCCCTGTCGGGGCTGGAGAGCTGCTTGGATGGACCAGTCCATGGTCTGCACTGTTCTGCCCCCGCGGCAGAAATCTCTGTCCCTGCGTTCGATAGGTGTCCTTCCCGAAGAGCCGCTGGGAGGAGTTCTCCCTTTCCCCCAGTAACGGGGGGCTGCCGTTTGATCTAGGTTATTAGGTACGATTGCGCCCCATAATAGCGACATGCATTTGAGTCGTGTTGTGTTTCCCCCCGTAGGTTGGCCAATGATTTGTCCTCAGAACCATAAAAAGCAGGAGAGAGGAGGATCCGTGAGCAAAACATCTATCTTCGGAAGCCTGTTTCATCCAGCAGGTAACAAATGGGATACCTTGAGCTGACCTCTCACTGCCGGGCCCGTTTCCTTCAGCACAACGGATTGGTTCATAGGGAGGTGAACCATGTAGCTTCAACTTGGATTTCATCCTGAAGTTTTGGAGCTCAATACTGTCTCTTGCAAATGTGTGACTGTGATCTCCTCATTTGTGGAAATGTGATGGCCCAAAACCTTCCTAGATTCTTCCTCTCCTTCCTGTCCCCCCTCTGCCCACCCAAAAAGAAAAAAAACCTCATTTTTATATAAGATGTCTTCAGCGTATAAAGGCTTTAGACTAAATCCATTCCTTGTGATTTCAGGAGTGGATTGATTCCTTGTGTTCATTTCACAAGTCTGTCAATGGTTTCCTCTCCGATTGCTGTCAGGAGAAAAGAGGGGAGCTCTCTCTCTTCGAGGGTGTCCCTCTCTGTAGGAGCTGAGGGCTGAGTACTGTAATTAAGCTGTGTGCCTTTCCTAGGCTTGGCAACTTTGTTAACTGTTTTCTTTCTTTCTTTCTACCTTCTCTTCACACCTCTCAACGGGTGTTATTGTTATTCTTTGGTTAAGATTTTCAAAAGTGGGTGTCTAAAGTTAAGCTCCTAAATCCATATTTAAGCACCTAAATAAGTGGCGTGAGATTGAAAAGCAGTGAGTTCCCCGCAGCTCCTGCTGATGTGTGTCAGTTTAAGTTTGCCAAATGCTGTGGGATCCTTCAGGCTAAAAGGTGCTGTGGAAGCGTAACGAGTACTTTTACAGTGCTGATAGTGGGCTCACATGTATAGGACATATAGAAAACCAGTCAGTGCCCCAGATAGCCTCCAGTCTCACTTCAGGCCCCACATGCAGCCTGAGCTGAACAAACAGGAGGCAAGGGAAGGTATGTGGATGGACACATAGTCTGGCAAGGAGTGGTGTGCTATGCAGTTTGTGTAGGGGCATAACTTGCTAGCTCAATTCATGTGTTTGTAGCAAAACCTTGAGGGTCTCAGTGAGGGAGCAGGATGAGGCCCTGGAACCAGGAAGGTACGGGACAACGATCACAAGTTAGCGGTGGCTAGGGAGGAGCTTCTAATGGTTGGGTTGTTTTCTGCGCTCCTCAGCTCTCAGGGACAGCCCCGCAGCAGCCTTGGTGCAGACAAGAGGATGAAATCGCACTCTCGGTGGGGGACTAAACATGGAGATACGCTGCGGCGGCCTCTTGTTCAGTTCCAAGTTTGACTCAGGGAACCTGGCCCATGTGGAGAAGGTGGAACACCAGGAAGGAGAAGGGGACGTAGCTGGGAACAACAGCAGCAGCAGCAGCACTACTGTGTCTGCGGTGTTTGGCAGCTCCCTGCCTGCAGCGGACTATGAATTCAATGTGTGGACCAAGCCTGACTGTGCTGAAACGGAGTATGAAAATGGGAACAGGTAAAGGGGCTTGGGAGGATGGTGGAGCTTCTCCTGATGAGCCTTCCTTTCATTCTCCCTGTGCCAGGAGGCAAGGCCGACATGAGCTAACAGCTGGAGCCAGGCCAGTCCTGGCAGTTTTTTAGCATGTGGCTCTGTTCCTTGGCCATTCCTTGCCTTCTGCCCAAAGTGCATAAAGAGCACAGAGAATCAGTCCCTCAAGTCCCTAGAGATCCAGGTGGCTGAGCTGCTGTGGGTAGCTTTGTAGAAAAGAGACACTTTTACATGCCCACTTCTCTGATTATGCTGCATTCTTACTCCAGGAAGCCTGAGGTTGCTGAGGTGACTTAATGCTGGAGTCCAATTCGGGTTCTGACCTTACTGCCAGTGCTCGTGCCCCAGCACCAGAGTTGTTGTTGGGTAGCAGACAGAGCGTCTGTGGGATGGAAGAATGTCAGCTCGATGACTCAGCTGACAGACTGACCTGGTCCTCTTTGTGGCATTTTCAGATCCTGGTTTTATTTCAGTGTGAAGGGAGGAGCTCCAGGCAAGCTGATCAAAATCAACATCGTGAACATGAACAAGCAGAGCAAACTCTATTCCCAAGGCATGTCGCCTTTCGTTAGGACCCTGCCTGTCAGGCCCCGCTGGGAGCGCATCCGGGAGCGGCCCACCTTCGAGGTATCCGTGCAGTGAGCGCGTCGGGGGATGCTTCTGCGTGGAGTTGACGGTGGATTGGTGCGTTGGGGTCAGGTCCTGTCTGCAGCTTTGTGACTCTTTAGCATTCTCTTTGGCTCAATGAGCAGCATGTAAGAGAGGGTTTAACTTCATAAAGGAAAATATGAACTCCTGGGTCTCTGTAACAGTCTTACCAGGGAGTCAGACAGTCCCCGTGGGCACTCCAGTCTCTTTTGCCACCCAGGCAAGCTGGATTTAGTGATAAATGATCACTTATACCAAAAATCACAAAATATTCTGGTTGCTCCCAGTCCCAAGAGACTAGTTGCTTATCCCAGATCAACTTGTACCTCAGATCTCACACCAAAGACAACATTGGTAGCTAATCCTATAGTAAACTAACTAAGGATTTATTAACTAGGAAAAAAGTATTACAGTATTTACAGATTAAAGCAGGCAACATATACACACACGAGTTCATTCTATGGTTCCACAAGGTGACAGAGATGTAGTAATCTGTCAGAACTGAATATCTTTTTAGGGCTAATCCAGGGTGACCCAGGGATCTCTGCTTTTTGTTTCTTAAATTCAGCCCTTGTAAGAGTTCAGATAGCAAAGAGATGAAAAAACTTCTTATAAGCTATCTCTAGTTCCCTCTTCCAGAACTCAAGCTGATGGGACGCATGTAGCACCTTCATGGTTGTAAGAAAGCCATTACATTAGTCTTTGCATTGTGATGTTCCACAGTGGCCCATTTAGTCTTGATAGTTCTTCTGGATGGTGTGGGGGTCACTTTTCCTGCCTAGGTTCAGAGCAGGCATTTTTACACTTGTAAATCAAAACTTACTTATTACCTTACAGCACAGGATACAGGCTATTGCAGGCAGCAACTCACAAGCATTTTATAGAGACTAAACACATTCTTACAAGTTCAGCACCCATCTCAAACAATATTAACATACAGGTGGGCTGGGCTCTTTTCCAGCTATGAATTTGTCAGTGCTCAGCTGACGCCTACAGCCTTGGCAAGAGCTGGCACCTGGTTTACCAGGGTCACGCCCAGGAAACTCCTCCTGCAATCGGAAGATATTTTTTCTCTAATCCTTCAGTTGTAACGATAGCTGGAAAACAGCCTTCCGAACTGAAATGCGATTGTTAAGATAGTTCCGTATTTAAAAACAAACAAACAAGATTTGAAAACTGCTAGATTGAGAGTCCCTGAAGAGTTGGTGGAGGTGAGGGGGGCAGACACACAACCTGGGCAGCGGCAGGGCAGCAGTCACACTGACACAGGCACTGCTTCACTAATGGGCCTTGTCCCTCCCTGACATGCACTCCTTTGCAGCGAGTTTGGTCTTTTGGCTCCTTCAGCACTTGGCCTTTGGAGAGGCTGGTCTTTGTTATGTGTACAGTTGTTGCTGGGGAGGGACTGAAAACCAGTAACCCTTGGATTGTGACTCTTGGTGACTGTTACTCTGAGCTTGGTTTGTTTTAGCAACCAAGCAAGAGTTGAAAGGCTCTTAATCCCATTGCAGATTTCCTGAGGTGGCCTGTCCCATCTCCATGCCTTTCCTTCCTCCCAAAAAACAACCCCAAATGCTTGGGCATTTAACCTTATCAAAAAATATATTATGGAAGGGGTGGGATGTTGCAGCTGGATAATTAGATGACATCAACATTTGCAGCTGAACAGGTTCAGATGGTGTCCCGGAGTCCCGGTCTCGGTGCTCTGGAACAGCTCTGAATGCAGTCAGACAGGACTAGTGCCCTCAGAGCACGTTCTCATTAGGGCAAACCTCCTCGGCTTCAGTGCCTCCTGAGTCTGACGTGGGAGCGTTGAGCTCCCTGCAGTGAGTCCACCTGGATGGGACACCTGGGGAAGCCTTACACCCCCCCCCCCAACTCTGCAGCCAGCGTGGAAAACAGGTTTATTAGTTGTTGGGAACACAGCGTAGAACAGAGCTTGTTAGCACAGAAATTAGAAACATTCAGCAAAGTCCATCCTGGGCGGGCACAATCCTAAGCCCTGAACCCTGGGCTGTCCCCTCTTCAGTCCCCCAACCGCTGACTGACCAGCTTCCAGCAGCCCAGCCTCTGTCACGCCCTGTTGCCCGTCCTCCGGCCTTTGTCTCTTTCCCAGGGCAAACAGGGCACCTGGCCTCCATCTCTCACTTCGTTCTCCAGCATCTCCAGCTGGCTCTTGCAGAGGGTGGGCCCCGGCTCTCAATTGCCAGGATACAGAGTGTCGGCCCTTGTCTGACCCAGGCAGTCACGCCTGCCCTCTAAGGGTCTCTTGTCCCACCACCTAGATGCTTGAGTAACATATGGGGGAAACTGAGGCACACACGTAGTATTCAGACAAAACGTTAAGAACACTCCCGCTTTGTCACAGATGGGCTAACAGTATTTCAGACTTTGGGTCTCAGCAGATCACCGGAGGGGACAGGAAGGGGTCCCCTGTTCTTTCCTGGACAGTTTTGCACAAATGGCCTGGTGCATTTTGGGACTTTTCACCTTCCTTTGAAGTCTCAAGTCTTGGTCATTGCTGTTGGGAGGCAGCAAAGTGAGATGGACCAAATGTCTGATCCGGTAAGGCAGAGCCTGTTTTCCTAGGCGGTGGTGTCTGGGCTCCTTAGGGATTCAGAGCAAAGCTAGGTGGAAGCTGCTTTGATTGTGGGTTTGACTGCAAAGCTGCAGCCACTGTTTAGTGGTGACTCTAGTACTGGTTATAATGCTAGAGCTGGGGGTGGGGGAGGAAATGGGCCTATTTTGAGGGACAATGAGATGCATTGTAGGATGCCAGGCAGTGGCCATATATGCCATGCTGTGTGCCCCAAGGGGGGTGATTGTGCAGGCTCATGGTTCTCTACTCCTGGGAGCCACGCTAGCCACTCAGCATCTGCTTTGTGTGTGTCTGTCCCAGATGATGGAGACCCAGTTTGTGCTGTCCTTCGTGCACCGCTTCCTGGAGTACCGTGGCACCACCACCTACTTTGCCTTCTGTTACCCCTTCTCATACACGGAGTGCCAGGAGATGTTGGCACAGCTGGACAGCCGCTTCGAGGAGTGTAAATACATGTCACCCAGCAGGTGCGCACCACCCTTGTTACCCTCCCTGCCTGTCTTCCCCCAGCCTTGACATGTTGGCTCTGCTCAAGCGTACCTTTTGCAGTGGTTCTTGCCTGGGTGGGGAGTTGGGGTAATTGTGCCAGCTGCTCTCGTTAGCTGCCGTGGGCTTGTGTCTCTTATCTCAGCTCTGGAATGAGCAGCCACAGCCGTTTTATCTGCACCCCTTGGTTCCCAAATGAGAGGTTCTTGGCGAGGGGGCAGGAGAGCAGAGGGTGCCCTTTGGGCTTTATTTCGGGTCTCCTCCGGGAACAGCATTCTCGATCCCAAGGTCAGACCAGCTTCCATGCGTTCCCTGTGGGTGGGTTCTGAGTAGATCACTAATTTCCATAGTTCTCAGCCGCCTGGGACCCAAGTGTAGGGGACGGGCAGCGGCGGTCTGTAGCATCCCTGGTTTCGCAGCCTCAGTGTTTCATACTGAGGGGCAGAGGTGACGGAGGGTCTGTAATGTGGAGAAGGAGGGAGTGGAACCGCTGCTGCCCCCAACGCGGCCTTTTGAGAGAGGTTCTAGGAGACCTGGCTAAACATTCCTTTTTAGCTTCCTGGCTGCAGAACATCATCTCACACAGCCCTTTTCCCTTCCCTCGGCAGCCCGATCCCAGGGAAGGTCCGTACCTCCTGGGGCTGATTGTCAGCACCAGGTATTCTGGCTGCATGGCGCTCGCACCAGAGACCCTCCTCTGTTTCTGGGAATTGCTTCTGCTCCCTTTCTCAGAAGCTCGTTCTGATCTCTGCAGCACTGTTCTGTGTTGCAGTCTCTACCACCTCTATTGCTTCCTGCCCCGGAGGCTCTTCCATACTCTGCTGTTATAGACCTAAACCATTTTCCTTAGGCAAGCAGAAAGTAATTCTTTATCCGAAGGCAAATCAAAGGCATTCACTCCTCTCAGTGACCTTGTGAATGTCATTTCTCTGCTGATGGCTTTCCAGGGAGGTTTCAGGGAATCGAAGAAATGAGCAGGATATGAAAAGGCAGTTGATGCTGCCCATGAAGCCTGTGGTCTCTGAGCACAGAGCGCTGCGGTTCCATGACAGCCCCTGGCCTTTCTTCGGCTCTGGTTTGACAGGGCGTGCAGGAGCTGGAGCAGAGACCTCTCGCTTGTAGCTTTAGAAAGAGAGAGGAAACTGAACTAGGAATCCAGCCAGTTGCTCCATGTTTACATACCCAGCCTGAGAGTTACACAAATTCATCCCATGCTGCTGAAGTCCACCGCGTTGCCCTAGGGATGAATTTGGCCTCCTAATACCAGTGCTCCCTGCTCTGTCAGGCTGGTGAGTGGGAAATCCCTGTGTGATACTTGGTTGTGCTTCCTGCTGCTTCACTCTCCCTCCCAGGGGTCGCGGGGGTCTCCTTGAGAATTTGGAGCTGCCTTTTCCTTTTGGCTGAGCAAGTTTCCTCTCTCCTGATCCCAGACCAGACTCCTCTGCTGCTTTTGAGAGTCAATGTCCTCTTGAAAGCTCAGGTCTGGCGTCCTTCCACAGGTCTTGGGGTGATACCCATGGCAGGACACCTGACTAGAAGAGCCAACAGCAAGCTGTCTGCTCCTGTCCCACTGGAGGGAACCAGTCGCAGCCTGCCCTGGGTGCTTTCAGGGAATGGTGAGCGTTCCCTGAAGAGCCAGTGATGGGCAGGGTTGTAGAATTCAGACATTCTGCATATTTTCCTTGGATTCCTGCCTTAATCTATGTGTTGGGAATCTCTTGAATGGAAGTGCCGGGGGGCTTGGGGGAGAACTGTGTTTGTTGACCTTCTCTGCCTGTGCTCATGTCATCTCTCCAGCCTCTGAAGCTGGCATCCAGCCCTCCTGAGAGAGCCTGTCTGCAACTTTCAACTTGCTTCTCTTGGAGCGCTGCTTGCAAAGGGCCCTTTCAGGCAGTGTCAGCCAGCGCCCCCAGCGCCCCCTATGCTGATCCTTTGGCCTGGAGTCCTTGAAGAACCTTGGGTTGAATTTGAACCCTCTGATTGGGCCCTTTTGCCATTAAGGATTTGTTTTCTTTCATATGTGATCTGTTGGCCTTAGCGACACCTGATCTGTCAGGCTGTTCACGGCATCGTCATGGTAACTGCCTTCGTCTCTTTCCTGTCCTCACCCCCCTTCTGTTTTGAAGCAAGTGGGCTGGGTATCAGATGCCTGATGCCCCCCAGCCTGAAGGATCCTGGGGACATTAGACCACCACTCACCTACATCCCCTGGTCTTGTTACACAATGGATAGTGGCGAACCAGTAGCGGGGCAGAACCCCACTTTTAAGCTTAGGTGCCAGCTCTCCCTCCACATCCCTTGTGTTCTATTGCCTGGGATTCTTCATGTCATGGCTCTGTTTCAGACTGAGTCCTGCTGGCCGCCGGCAGCCAGAGCTGGCCCTAGGCATGTACACTGCTTGTATGCATGGCTTGCTGCCTTCTGCATGTGTTCTGGACTGATGGCTCCCTCCCCAGGGCTCTGCAGTGCCCAACCTGATTTCCCTCTCCACACCTCCCTTTGAATTCAGTAGCTCAGTCTGTTTGAATCCATGCTGTCTCCCACACCCACCTAGATCATACAGACATCCGAAAGAGGGGCACCAGAGGATTGGCCCGCGGCAGCTTGATCCAGCTGCTCCCCTTCCTTTTGACTTGGTCTTTGGTCTCTCGGTGCATCCCTGCATTGGGGCAACAGCTGAGCAGAGACTTCACCTGACTTTTCCACTCCCATGCTCTCAGGCAGGAGCAGAAGTTACAGCCTCCCCAGCAGAGGCCTCAAAATGAGCACGACCACCAGAGGAGCACTAGGGCTGGGCCATTCACAGGGGCTGGCTAAGTGATGGGAGGGTCTCTGGACTGCTGTCACCAGAGCGCAGAGGGAAGAATCCTTCAGGTCAGCTGGTGCCTAGATGCTCCTTGGGGGAGGAGAGGGCCAGGGAGGAGAGGAGTACTGCTGAGATCAAAAAGCCTGGGGAAAGAATAAGTCTGTATGCTGTGAAATGGAATTGGGGGTGGGGAAGGACAGGGGGATGATAGACCAGACGAGCGAGCGTTGGGGAGATGGAAGGATAAACCAGAGACACAAACTGGCAGTTAAAGAAGCGTTAAATGTTTTAGAGCAATTAGCGAGAGGGAAGGGGCTGAGGGAGAGATTACAGCCAGGTGCACGGAAAGAGCCTGAAGCCAGGGAGATGTCGTAACATTGTCAGTGATGGAGAATCTACCACGACCCTTGGAAAAATATTCCAGTGGTTAATTACTCTCCCTGTTAATAATGTATACCTTATTTCCAGTCCGTTTGTCTAGACTTAATCTCCAGCCCTCGGATCATGTTAGACCTTTCTCTGATAGATTGCAGAGCCCCCATTATCAAAGATTTCCCCCCCTGTAGGTACTTACAGACTGTAATCAAGTCACCCCTTCACCTTCTCTTTGTTAGACTCAAGACACTCAGTCTAGTGAGTCTATGGCTGTAAGGCAGGTTTTCTAATCATAGAATCATTCTTGTGGCTTTTCTCTGCACACGCCACAATTCAAGACGAATGTCGTTAAATTGGAGACACCGGAATTGGACACAGGATTCCAGCAGAGGTTGCCCCAGAGCCAAGTACTGAGGTAAAATAACCTCTCTCCTCCTACTCACGTCCCCTCAGGATGGCATTTGCTCTTTTAGCACCAGCTTTGCACTGAGAGCTCGTCTTGAGCTGGTTATCCATCACAACCCCCATAATCCTGCCAGGACAGTCCCCCAGCCTGTAAGAATGGCTGACGTTTTTGTTCCTAGATGTACACATTGGCATTTGGCTGTATTAAAATGCATACTGTTTGCTTGCGCACTCCTTACCAAGCAATCCAGATTGCTCTGATTCGGTGACCTGTCCTCTTCGCTATTTACCATTTCCCCCAATTTTTGTGTCATCGGCAAACTTTATCAATGATGATTTTGTTTTTTTCCAGGTCATTGATAAAAATGTTAAATAGCTTAGGACCAAGAACGGATCCCTCTGGGAACCCATTGGAAACGCCCACTCGATGACGATTCTCTGCTTACAGATAGTAAATGGATTAAAAACTGGCTATGTGCCAGGTTAATTGTATGTCATTCTAGTTTTTTAATTAAAATGTCAGATGGTACCAAGTCAGATGCCTTAGAGACGTCTCTTAGGTGAACACTATTCCCTTTATCAACCAAACTTGTAATCTCATCAGAGAAAGAGATCAGGTTATTTGGAAAGGATCTGTTTTTCTTAAACCCATTAATTATATTATCCTCCTTTAATTCTTTATTAATGAGCCCCATACCAGCCGCTCCATGATATTGCCCGGGATTACTGTCAGATGACAGGCCTATAGTTACCATGGTCATCCCGTTCTCACAGGTTTACTGCTCAGCTCCGCTCACAGCTCTCACTGTCAGCTGAAATGTAACAGGTTCAGCTGCATTCGTGATCTTCCCTCGGCTTTCCCCATTCTCTTGTAACTGCATCCTTTACTCTATCAGGGAAAGAGTTTAAGGTAAGAAGAGCCCATTGGATATTCCATCTGACCTGCTGTGTATCACAGGCTGTTCAACATCACCAGTTACCCCTGTAATGAGCCCAACAGCTTGTGTTTGGCTCAGGCATTTTCCAGAAAACCATCGAGAGACTTCCCTCAGCAGCTTGTTCCCAGGGTTAATCACCCACAGGGCTTGTCTACACTTACTAGGGCTTGATGCACAGCGATCAATGCATCGGCCGTCAATTTAGTGGGTCTAGTGAAGACCCTCTAAATCGACCGCAGATCGCTCTCCCGTCGACTCCTGTACTCCACCTGAACGAGAAGTGCAAGGGGAGTCGACGGGAGACATCGCGTAGTGTGGACCCCACGGTAAGTAAAGCTAAGTACGTCGACTTCAGCTACATTATTCATGTAGCTGAAGTTGTGTAACTTAGATCCGACCCCCCCCCCCCCCCCAGTGTAGACAAGGCTTCAGTGTTTAAAAAATGTTTTAGTTCTAATTTGAATTTGTCTGCCAGCTGGTGGCTTGTGTTTGTGCCTTTTCCTGCTAAATTCAAGAGCCCTTTGGTACATAGTATTTTCTCCCCAGGCAGGTACTTACACGCTGTAATCAAGGCACCTCTGCCATCGTTTTGATACTGTTAGCAGCTGGAGCTCGTCAGGTCTCTCACTGTACGGCATTTCCTCTGGCTCTTGAATCGTTTTTGTGGCTCTTTTCAACATTTTTTAAAAAGTGGACTCCAGAGCTGGACGCCATGTTCCAGTGTCGGTCTCCCCAGTGCCATATAAGGAGGGACAATCACCTCCTTGCTCCTACTCACCACCATCCTCTGTCATGTGGGCATCACCTGTGATTCCTCTGTCTCTGGACCTGCACGTCCAGGCCAGGGCTGCTTGTTGCTTTCTGTACAGCGGTCCAAGGTGCAGCCTTTCACCACCTTCCTTATTGCCTCATATAGGTGTCAGGGAGTCACGGGGTCTGTGCCGCACCCCAGCTTTGGAGTGGTCTCTGGGAGGAACCCCTACAGTATGCCAGACCCCCTAGGGGTCCCACTCTTCCTCCAGGGTGAGGCACAAGGCTTCCCTCCCCCCCCGAAACTGGGTCTCTGAGCCTGCAGACCCCCTGCTTCACGTTGTGAGCCTGGTTTAGGAAGTTCCACTGAGCCAGACCCTGGGGGAGACGTGTCCTCTCCTCAGGGATCAGTGCCCCTCGCCCAGTGTCTGCAGGGACACTCACCCAGCGCTGTGAAACCAGGCGGGTTTATTGGTCACCTGGCACATGGCCCAGAGAATGAGGGTTACAGCCCAGCCGGGTCAGCCAGCGCCCAGCCCAGCTGCAGTGACCCTCATGGTTCAAGCTCTGTCTCCAGCCCCCACCTCTTACCCTCACACCTCCCCAGTCCATTGTTCTCGAGCTGGGAACATGGCTCAGCCTCCCTGCTGAGAGATGGGGAAATCCATCTGCCTCGGGAGCCAGGGTTGCCAGAGGTAAACGTCCTGGGGACTGGATCTGCCATTGTCTTCTCGGATTCTCCGTGGATAGGGGTCTACCTCAGCCAGTCCTTTACCAGTGTCCCATCCCAGCTCAGACCACTGGACATCTCCCAGCCTCCCTGAGAGCAAACAGTCCCTTTCCCCTCACTGGGTAACATTGCTACTTATAGGGGAAACTGAGGCACAAACCGGCTTCATACAAATATTTCAAAAATGTCCACTTTGTCCCCATAGGCCATTCCTCGTCTGCCCTGTTTGGTTATTGCTGCCTCTTCTTCTCTGGCCTCCTGGGTGCTTCTTGGGTCTGTCCAGAATGCTGTTGCTGTGAGCTGCATCACTCTGGCCGTGTCAGCCCCTCAGGATCCCTGCACTACGTCCTCTGTGCCCCATGCAAGCTGCTTGTCGCTCCTTGCACAACTCTGCTCCTTCCTTGGCCTGCTCTTGTCTCACTAGGGCACCCCTCCTCCTGCAAGCAGCACCAGCCTTTATTACCCATCCAGCTGCCCCTCCCACAGGCAATGCACTCCTTGAACTGATCTGTAAAGAAGCAACCGGGTCCTTCCTTAACACCCTCCCCAAGATCATAGAATCTTAGAATATCAGAGTTGGAAGGGACCTCAGGAGGTATCTAGTCCAACCCCCTGCTCAAAGCAGGACCAATTCCCAACTAAATCATCCCAGCCAGGGCTTTGCCAAGCCTGACCTTAAAAACCTAAAAAAATGCACCTGTGGTGATCTGTAGGCTGAACTGGTAGGGAGCTGGCAGGGACCAGTGAGTCCAGTGCCTCCTGTTGACACAACCCACCACTCTCAAACCTGCAAAACGTGCCCATGGCCCCATCATCCTGAGCACCTGCCTCCCTCACCCACTCCCTCCACCTGCGAGTTACACCAGCTGGGGTGTCTGCTCTGCCGTGGGGCGAGGGCAGTGTCTCCGTACATGTTTGTGCATCACCCACGGTGGTCCTGAGTGGCCTGTGGGCACTGCTGCAGTGGAAATAATAAAGAAGTGGTACATAGGGCTAGGCTCCGGATTCCAGACAAGAGTCAGAACTAGACGAGAGCAGGGTGGCTTAGGGCTTCCTGCACTTAGACTGGATAGCCAAGCCGGGCTGGAGGCCTCACCCAGGGGCCCCAGAACTGTTCTGGGGGATGGGAGCAGAGCAGGCACTGAGGGAAGCCAGGAGAAGGTAACTTCCTCCCAAAGGGAATGCAGAATGGAGCCTGGGAAGGCTATTGGCAGCACACCCGCTGCTTGGATTGGTGGCCACCTTCCAAACTCAGGTGGGACTCTGCTAGTCCTCCTTGATGGGGCCTGTCCCCTGGCTGGGAAGGTGGGTACCCCTCCCTAGTGCTGAGGCCTGGGATTCCCTTTTCCAGGAGTGCTCAGCTGGTATGTGGGGGCAGCTGCCCTTCCTTCCTCGACTGTCACAACTGCTCTTCAGGGCCTTTCTGCATCTCCCCCCGCAGCACCCTCGACTCCATCTATTACCATCGAGAGCTGCTGTGCCGCTCCCTGGACAATCTGCGGGTGGACTTGCTCACCGTCACCTCGTGCCACGGCATGAGGGAGGAGCGCGAGCCCAGGCTGGACAACGTATTCCCTGACGAAGCCACTCCTCGTCCGCATTGCTTTGCAGGGAAGAGGGTGAGTCACTGGCTGCCTCTGGGTGGGGATGGGGACTGGACTGCCTGGGAGCCCTGGGACCAACATCCTGCCAGCAGACTGTCTGTCCTGCTTGCTGGCATGTCTGCCCCCTGGCAGTTCCTTGAGTCCAGGCACGGAGGATGCAGGGAACAGCCGTGTCCTCATGGTGGGAAACATCCCTTAGAGGAAGACGTATTAACGGGGATAACCTATATCCCAGTAAAGAGGAGAAGATAGAGGTTAATAAAGTACAGGTAGGATCTGAAGAGAAACCATCAAATGAAAGAGAGCCCCATTCAATGACATCAAATGAATGCAGACAACTAAATAGTGACAAATGTAAGTGCTGGTATACAAATGCTAGAAGTCTAAATACTAAGATGGGTGACCTCGAGTGCCGGATATTCGATGCTGATAGGCATCTCAGAAATGTGGTGGAACGTAATCAGTGGGACACAGTAATACCAGGATACAAAATATACAGGAATGACAATTGGTTGCGCTGGTGGGGGAGTGGCACTATATGGGAAAGAAAGCCTGGTCACATATAGTGAAAATTTTAAATTAAACTGAACCATAGAATCTCCATGGATAGAAATTCCAAGCTTGAATAACAGGAATATAGCAGTAGGGATGTATTACTGACCACCTGACCAGGATGGTGATAGTGATTGTGAAAGGCTCAGGGAGACTAGAGAGGCTATAAAATTAGAAAACTCAGTAATAATTGGGGATTTCAGCTATCCCCATACTGATTCACCTCAGGATGGGATGCAGAGATAACATTTCTAGACACCATTAATAGCTGCTTCATGGTGCAGGTAGTCTGGAAACCCACAAGGGAAGAGGAAATTCTTGATTTAGTCCTAAGTGGCTGACAGGGTCTGGTCCAAGAGGTGAATATAGCTGAATTGCTCAGTAATTGTGACCATAATGCTATTAAATTTAATATTTTTTGGCGGGGTAATACCAAGAAACCCATCACAGTCACATTTAACTTTGAAAAGAGGAACTACACAGAAAGGAGGACATTAGTTAAACGGAAATTAAAAGGAATAGTCACAAGAGTGAGATGCCTGCAAGCTGCATGGAAATGCTTTAAAAATGTCATAAGAAAGTACACACTTAATTTGAGCCCCCAAATAAAAAAAACAGAGGACCAAAAAACAGTGAGGTGGCAAAATTTGCAGATGATACAAAACTCAAGAGGGTTAAGTCCCAGGCAGACTGCAAAGAGCTACAAAAGGATCTCACAAAACTGGGTGACTGGGCAACAAAATGGCAGATGAAATTCAATGTTGATAAATGCAAAGAAACTCACATTGGAAAACAGAATCCCAACTCTACATATAAAATAATGGGGTCTAAATTAGCTGTTACCACTCAAGAAAGAGATTGTGGAGTCACTGAGGATAGTTCTCTGAAAACATCCACTCAATGTGCAGCGGCGGTCAAAAAAGTGAACAGCATGTTGAGAATCATTAGGAAAGGGTTCAGAGTAGCAGCCGTGTTAGTCTGTATCCGCAAAAAGAACAGGAGTACTTGTGGCACCTTGTTCAGTGATGTGTGGTTGCTGGTGAGTATTTGCTTTAGGTTGGGGGGTTGTCTGTAAGCGAGGACAGGTCTGTCTCCCAAGATCTGTGAGAGTAAAGGATCATCTTTCAGGATAGGTTGTAGATCTCTGATGATGCGCTGGAGAGGTTTTAGTTGGGGGCTGAAGGTGACAGCTAGTGGTGTTCTGTTATTTTCTTTGTTG